TGGAATGCATTTTCACATGGAATTTTAATTTATGATATAAAATGTACAAAAAGAAAATAATTCAAGATATTTTCTGCTCTCAGTTTTAAGTGCATTCCTTTTTGTTTTAGCTGGATTTTTACATGTTTTTAAAAATTATTTGTGAATAATTTTCATTTCCCACCTCTGTTCCTATTCTAAATGTATCTATTTTTAAAACTTTCCTTACAAATTACTAGGATGAGCAAGTCAATGACGATTTTACATCCATTATGAAAAATAAAGTCAATGACGATTTTACATCCATTATGAAAAATAAGCCATTAGTAACCATGTGACTTGAACTAAATTTTGATTGTATATGTTTAAGGAAATCGGGTACTCTATGTCTCTACAAATGCAGTTCTTAGTTTTGTCAGATATCAGGATAAACTCAGGAGGTTGCATTTATAAGTATTTGTGCATGCACACATAATAGTTTATATGCAATGTATGTAAACAACAATAAAGAAAAATGCTGTGAGTGTCAATTGGAGACTGGCAGAAAGAATTGGGAGGGATTTGAGGTGTGGAAGCTGGGAGGGGCTGGGGAACAAAGGGAGTGGAGAAGAAATGTCACTCTATTTCAGGCAAACAACTGGGAATAAAAGAAAATGCTCACAAAGAGAAAAAAAGGAAAGGAAAGGAGAAGAAAAAAAACAGTAAAGCTGATGCTGCTAACTAAGGGAACCTGGAAACTTTATAAAAACTACTAAGTAATAGTCTCTAGACATGGGGTATAGGAACTTGCATTTTTTAAAGTCATCTAAGTTTCCAACCTTCTCTGTAGAAGGTTCTAGACAATACTTATGCAAAGAGCTGTGCTTTTTCATCAGTAGAAAATAATTTTACTATCTCAATCCTATCTATTATATGTTCACATATGTGATGCTAATTTGTATTGAGTCCTTAAATCATGTGTGGCTTCTACCGGCACTCCCTTTATGAGTTTGTTACATATTACAAGTTTCTGGAAAATGAAATGTCACATAAAGTTTTTTTTTTTTTTTTTTACTTTTCACCCAAACATCAAAGCTCTGCTATGTGCTAGGATTCTGATCTTAGCCCTTCCAGAGTTTTTAGTACCACTGATGCTTCAGAACAAGTTCTGAACATGGGAATGGAATGCAGTGCTTCTCAGTAATTTCCTATATATATACTCTGGCCAAACCGAGGAAGTGTACTTTCCATGTCCCAGGTCACCATGTCCTTGAACGCCATCACCAGTTGACTTATCATTCACTGCTATCCTGCCCTCTTCCTTCACCAGCCTCACAAACTTTGTCATTCTTTTAGGTTTATCTTACGCATTATCTGATGAATTGCATTATGTCTCTATTAGCCGAGTCTAGTACTTCCTGTGTGTTCCCTGTAAGATCTTGAGGTTGCCTCCATCACAGTATAGGCTTGTGGCCACAGTTACCATACTATTTTCCATATTGCATGCTCATACTCAGGCAAAAAATACATACCTTTGTCATGGAGTGAAGAATTACAACATATCCATGCTATATAATCACTACATTAGCTTTTTTCATATGACTAACATATCAGGTACCATGGTAAATTTTCTACAAGCATCTTATTTAACCTTGAAAAGTTTAGTAAAGAGAGAGGATTATTTGTACTTGAAGTATCAGTTAACCCTGAGGCTTATCAGAAACTTACAAAAGTTTATGCAACTACTTGAATTATACTTAGAATCTGAACAGAGGTTTCTGACCCTAAGGATGGTATTCTGAAACTTCAGAGAAAATGACTCTCTGGAAGGACCATCCTGGTCTATTTTTGTTTTTCTAAAAGGCTCTCAAAGGTTATGTTATAAACAATAGAAGCTTTCTTATCTCATGGATCTGGAGGTCAGAAGTCTAAGAATGCCACTCTGATGTCTCACAAGGTCTCTCTGGCAGAAATGTTGGTCAGTTTGTGTGAGGAAGCAAGAAGAAATGGAGCCCAGCTCCCTGTTATCAGTAATCCATTCCTGCAATCACCCATTGCCGTGATCGCAACACTAATCTATTTATGAGGGCAGCATTCTCGCAATGCAGTCACCCTTACAAGGTCCCTTTGAAACTATGGTTACTGTGGCAATTAAATTTTACCATGAGTTTTAAAGGGAGGACATTCAAACCTTAGCAGGCTCAGATTGTACTTAACTACTCATAGCAATTTCTCTTTGATGATTTCTACTCAAACCTCCTCCTTATAGCTACAACACTGTGGGAAAATGCATGTCCTTTTAACCATTAGACCACTTCACAATAGAGTTCAGGCACACCTACACATGGTCACAAGTGCCACACACATGCATAGTCAGTGAAGGGCAAACACACACACACACACACACACACACACACACACACACACACACACCAGATTGTTTTAATTGGAATGCTTAGTTTGCAAAATTGCAAAAGAGTCACAAAATAACTATTAACCACATCAATGAAAGCTCAGCAAGTCACTACAATGGAAAGAGAAGTCCCTTTAATGAAAACCTTACAAAATTATCCCAGATTGCACGTGATTTTTAATGGACTGCAGTCACTCTGGGCATTTCTATTTCATTTCTTGGATAAGAGTAAAATACATTATTTATGCAGAAAAGTAGTGAATATTTCCAACTGCTAACACATGGCCTGTGCAAAAAAGAGTAATGCCATTTTTTTTCTCTTGTGCAATAACCCTGCACTGGGCAGCAAACATGCACAACGTGCTGGTTTCCTGAAGCTGTAGCAGAGCCTCCCTTTTCACCCACCGCCCAGAGTCATTAGTTGTGTCCTGGATAATAAAGCCATAATACTGAACTTCAGGATGATTCCAAAAGTGTTTCTGCCTGTCTTAGGAAATAATATTATCAGTTTGCTAATAAGCAGAAATACTTTGGAAGTTGAATTTGTTGTCACAAGTGCCCCCCCAAAAAAAATCCAACATATAAATCAAGCCATGACTGAGGAAGAAACAAGACATGCCTTACGTTTCTGAAACATTATGCCAGGATCACAGCTGTAACGTGTCGGATAATCATTAAGAGTACAATGTCAAACACTGAACTTCTGGGTAATTTCCATAAAAATAGCATTTCATTTGAGGTCAGTGATTCCTGTAGAACTTTGGAATGATTTTTGTTGACTTTTTTTTTTTTTAACTGAACTCTAATGCCCTCCAGGTGCCCCTCCATCTAGAACTACTATGTCGTTCAATGCTTGCAAACACCTCCTAAGAAGAAACTTAAGTGTGTGAAAACTCACATTCTCTCAGCCTGTGAATTTTATGGAGCTAAAGTTATGCTACATAGTCAGGAAGGGCAATTTGCTATTCAATTTTTGTTGTTGTTTAGTTACCTTATTTAAGTCAGCTCTGAAAATTTGTAGTGTGAACCCTGAAACCAACAGAAAGGCCTGGGATCTGTCCATAGAGGTCTTGCCAATACCACAATATTCCTTAAAGTAAAAAAGAAAGCTGAAATTGGCAAATCAGTGGGTTATTAGTTCAACTTAGAAGTAATAGTTGACTGTTTTTGTTGAACTCTATATGCCTCAAATAACTTGCTATTTACTTTGTCCTTCCCTGGGCCCTCAATTTATTAACGGTTCTACTAGCATTCAAACATTGAACGTGTATTTTGTTAAACTCAACAAGGCAAGTTTGCATGAAGTGATTAGGAGCGTTTGTAAATACAGTCTCATGACAAATCTGTCGGTGGCATAAAATCATTAATCCAAAGAGACTGCAGTGGCCTAGTATACATATAAAGTATTAATAACACCACTCCCTGCGATTCTGTAACCAGAGCATGGGGAAAAAAGGAGCCAAACCACTGAATTCAATATTTTCAGCCTCTTTCAGTACAAAAAAATATTTTGGTTCTCTCACACAAATAGTTTTTCCAAAATACTTTCACCCATTAGTGCCTCATTGTAGGCAGACTGATTGGAAGTTTGTATGGGTATGGGGTAAATGGTCAAGATCTGTCCCACATTCAAAACTAATTGGTTCCAAGTTTTCAATTACTATGAATTTGTGTACAAATAATGTCTTACTGGTACATATGTGTTAATGTATCTTACCACAGTCTTGTCCTTAAAAGTTACAAATGTTATACAAAAAAAAAAAAAATTCACCAGACAAAAGTTAATTCCCTGTCCTTAAGGAAATAGGAGGCAATGTATCCAATATGGTGTCTTGGAAAAATACTCACCAAAATTTTTCATGGTTATCTACTACAATAGGATAAAATTTACTGTTCGTGCTGTCTCCGTGTGGGATGCCTATTCACAACAATACCTTTATAATCATGTAGATTTCACTTTAAAATCTATCTCACAGTACAGTACAAGTCTAAGCTATATCTACGCTTCGTTCAAGGACAGGAGCCTCCGTGAAATACAGCATACATATGACAAATATCTGTTCGATTGATTAAAACCAAAAACTACTGTCCTTGTAGCTTATACCATGGCAGTATTGATAAATTGTATTTAGCATACCCTGCACACAGAGAAATTGAGGTAGAAATTAGTTCAGTTGGTATAAAAATAAAGCATAATTATCTTGCTATGCATTGTGAACTGTTATTTCCATATTTGTTATGTAAACCAATTCTCTCCTCTTAGGTAACATGCAAATGTCACCAGAGAAAATAGGTAATTGCTATTTGTAAATTTTAATATAAAATACTGCCTTAATTGTAAACCAGATGAATGTACATTTTGATAGTTTTCAGGTGGTTAAAATGTTTTCCATTCAGTATGCATAAGTGACTGTCATGTAAAATAGATCTCTTAATGCTATTTGTCACAAAAAAATTCTATTGGTTTGACAAAAGCTTCTGAAATGCTTAAAGACTATGTATTTGTTATCTCTGAGTACAATAGGCAGCTTTGAGATAAAAACTGCTATTTTTAACAAGTTAAAATAACCAAAGAGAGTATAATTGAATAAAATGTATTAAATGAATGTCCTTTGTCCTTTTATTTCAGGAAAAAAGGGAAGAGAGAGAAAACGAAAAAAACTCAATAAAGAGGAAAGAAAGGAAACAAGCTCTGACAGCAAAGGTTTGGAGTCCAGCAGAGAGACTCCAGAGCAGCGGGAAAACAAAGACAGACAGCAGCAGCAGAAGAAAAAAGCCCAAGAGAAACCACAGAAATCGGTATCAGTCAGCACTGTACATTAGAGGGCCCTGTGAGGTTATTGTAGACTCGTGATGCTGCTATCTCAACCAGATGCCCAGGACAGGTGTTCTAGCCATTAGGACCACAAACGGACAACACATCAGTTACCACTCTGTCTAAACAACATTCCGAATAGTTGCTATATTCTTCATACAAGCATAGTTAACAGCAAAGAGCCAAATGTTCAAAGAAGGGATACTTTCAGATGGTTATCTTATGTGCTTCTGTGTATTTTTAAAAGATGAGAAAAATCTGTACATAATAATCAATAAGCTATAAGCTATTCTCAATATAATGATGACACCCAGAGAAGAAACATCTTTTCCCTGTATGAAATTGTTCTTCAAGTAATTGTCTTTAAGAAGCAAAAGATAAGTCTGCAACTTCAAAGAGGCAGTGTCCCTCAAAACAAAGGTCAGGGGAGAGAAACATTGCTCCAAGTACAGGGTGGATTTGTCCAAAAGATCTAGTGAATGCTCAAAATTAAGGCCTGGCATGTGGAATCCTAGAGTTTAACATCAAAGAAGCAAGTGTTTTTAAGGTTACTTCTATTGCCCTCATCCTGTGCTTCTGCAAGAAACTGAGTGTGCATAACAGTGTTAAATATGCTGTGTGGGACTGGAGTAAGGCAAACTGTAGAAGAAATCATAGAACTGGAGATCGATCATCTGTGCTTTCCAGACTGTGAAGGGTTGTGATCACCTGGAACAGGTCTCCAATCTATGTTAGCACTGTGTGGTGTGGGTGATCGTCTGCTACACCTCGGTTTATATAAGTCTGTAAACATGTACCTGTAACTTTCTTCCAAAAGCAAAACCATACATATTAGGAGAAAAATTCTGACCTTAGAACAGAACTAGAGTGAGGAGAATGTGACATGTTTGCAAAAGTGTGTGTTTTCTTTCTTAATGAAGGGAAAATGATTTTATTACCTGGTTAAGGGTTCACCAGGAACAAGAGGCATACTATTTTCTAACAAGGTGTATCTAGTAGGGGAGAAAGCCACCACAATAAATATATTTGTTAATAGTTTTTAAAGCTTGTTTCACTTTGTTTTATTGGGTAAGAGATAGAGACTTGAGAACTAGGAAGAAGAAATCCGCTCTACGGGTGACCTGTGTCTTAGAAATGTAGAAGATGAGAGTTTCAGGGTCTCCTCCTTCAGTGGCCCATTACCCAAGTCAATGGAAACTTACTTATGTGATGCTAGGGGATATTTATTAATTTTTCTTACTTTAATAAAAATATATTATGGGACATGAGCCTACTAAGTGACGTCACTGCCCCTCTCCTTCGTTTCTTAGGGTTGATTCCACCTGCATCTTCACCATTTAGCTTTTCTTCTCCATTTTTCTCAGTCTGTGGATCTCTTTTGGGAAGTGGAGTCCCCCCATCAGAAGGCCCCTGCCATGTTTCCCAGAGGACCCAGCCAGTCTTGAACAGGAGGAGAATCTCTGAGTGTGCAACACAGACTCTGTCTCATGACCCACTTTAGCCTTCTGCAGCAGCGGGAGGATGTGCAGCTGCTCTGTGCACCACACTTGCGGCCCTCTCAAGGTCCCTGTCTTCTGAAGACCCTGCAGTGAATCTGCCTCCTGCCTGTCTGTCTCTGTCCATCCCTTCTTCGCTGGCTCTGTTGTTCTTGTGGGCTGCTTGACTTTCCCTCTTCTAAGATATAAAAGTTGTAAACAGTTTACTACTGTTTCTTACTCTGGTGTTTCTTTTCTCATTTGCATGGGATACCCTTTCCAATCAACTGGGCCTGTACTTTCTATTTAGGAGCGTTGTCATTCAGTCTTCATATAACACTCATGTTACTGAAGGGAATCGAACCCCATGCTACAGAATTATGTTAGGTGGAACTATGTCCCCAGGTAAGAACTTTTGAATGTATTGAACATCATAACTACCTCAGAGTTGTTTTATTCAGTGTGAGTAACACTCAATACTTTTACATATATTTCTTTTTATCAATATCTTCCTTCTTCCAATAACACTGCCTAAGGTCTAGGAAAGGGATAATATCCACCAAAGAGATAGCAAACATAGGCAGATTATTATCATTTCCTCCCATATGGCCCCATATACCACAAAATATTATATCTTTGATGCAACACTTAAATAAAAGTAGAAGATAAAAAATTACAATTGACATTATTCATACATTGGATAGAATATATATATATGTGTATATATATATATATGATAACTTCTATTAAAAATTTCAATCTATCCTGCTAGATTCTTAAGCATAAGAAATCATATAACATTCAAATAATCATCCCTCCTCAAGCATTTTAAGTGTCGCCACTGACTTGTGGAAAACCTCTTGCACTCACCTTAAAAGGCATTGTTGATAGTAACAAACATCCAAGAAATTCTTGATATAGAAATAGAATTCAAAGAGTAGAACATCACAAATCTCTCAGTACCTAGTGCATACCCTTGCCCTGGTTTCCAAAGTCTAGCTTTATAACTGTCCTATCCCCAGATTCACATTATACCCGTAAGTTTGTAACCATTGATATGACACTTAGGGTCTCCATTTTTTTTAATTGAAACAAGAGAAAGGGGGATGTATGTCATGGAATATTTAACATTTCTTCTATATCGTGGTGATGCTCCTAGTGAATCTTCACTAGTGAGAACGTCCTTTGGAAATGATCCTAACTGTTATGCTCAAAAGTGGAAATGTATACTATGATATAGACTTTACTGGTCTGGTGTTATTGAAATATTGCTGGCTAATGTTAGTGTTATTCAAATACTAAAATGAGTAACAGAGGGAATAAAAGTGTGTAAAACAGCTCCTGCCAAGATAGAGGCTAGCCCTCACAAACTGAAGGGAAAAGAAAGTGAAGAGTGTGTGCCGTGTGTGTGTGTGTGTGTGTGTGTGTGTGTGTGTGTGTGTGTGTGTACACAGCCATTGACTGAATTCTGCTGTTCATTGGGTTATAACTCTGTAGCCATGGACCAGCTGTTCAGTCTTTCACAGTCTCCATTCTTTCTGGTAAGAATACAACGAGAATAAAAAGACTTGTGACTCAATAGAACAATCATTATTCTGCAGACAAGTAAATTTCTCATACACACATGAAAAGCAAACTTATGTCTACAAGTCAAACAGGTAAATCAATTTTATTGCTTGATTAATATATGGGATTCCTTCCAGCAAGTACACATATGTGATGATTTCAAGAAATGTAAATATAAGAGTTGTGGAAACAGAGAAGTTGTTGCTCAAAAATGAATACAAATTTACAAGTTGTCTTCAATCTTTAAAGCAAGAAATGATTACTCCTAAGAATGTGCACATTTTATAAGTTGGCATAAGTAGAGACACTCCATCTCCTCCTGTAGTTGTATTTCAATAGCAATGTGACTGGCTAAATTCTTTCTCAGTAGTATTGCAACTGTCTTTGGGTTCATTAAGGGGAAAGAATTCATTCTCAGGCAAATTGATTATGGGGTAGAACTTCTCACATGCTATGGGAGTATAATTGGAATTCATCTTCCACAAAAAAAAATCTAGCTAAGTTGTTGCTCAGATCAATTGAGAACTCCCATTTTAATTTTTCTAGCATATATTAGCTATGCATCACAATGGGTTTCATTATATGCCCATACATTTTCACATATGGGCATAATGTATTTTGATCATATTCACCCTGCATTACCTGTTCTTGTCCACGTCCAAATTTTTTTTGAATCTTTCCTTTTCATAAGAAGATCCTCTCATACTTTTATGTCCTTCTGGTTTGTTTTGTTTTGTGGCCCACTGAATTTTGTTAAGGTTACTTAAAGCAGCATGGATGAAGTTTTGTTAGCAAGAACACAGGCACATTGCCAGTAGCTACACTATTAAAGAAAAACTTCCCTTTCTGCCCCCCTTAACAGGTTATAAATCCAAAGACAAGGGTGGCACCCCATGATCTCTCTTTCCCCAGTGACATGCTGTTCATCATCAACCCCGTCTCATAGGAATCTCATGCAGACAACCACAACTGCTGGGAGTTCCAGCATGCCTGGAAGTTGAAGCTCTACAACCCACCCCTCCCTCAGCTTTCATATTCTGTCCACCCTTCTTCCATGATATGCCATGAATATCAAAGGGGGTGGCATAAATGTCCCATTTATCAATGACCCTTCAATAGTCACTCACAAAATTTTCCAATTTCAATCAATGATAACTCAGCTCACTGAATTAACAGTTTAGTGTTATATTCCAATGTATTTGCTGTTTTGTTTTGATGTTTAGAAAAAGAGAGAGGAATAGCTGGGTCTCCTTTACAGCAGTCAATAATGTTCTCAGTAAGAAGTATTATGCAAAAATGCCAAAGTCCTTCTAAAGAAGTCATTGATGTCTGTGTTTCACAAACAAGAGACTTGAGGCACAGAGAACTATCCAAGAGTCACATGACCAATAGGCAGTCAGCTGTGAAGTCATTCCCATCTCTGGCTAAGTCCAACCACCCTTCATCATACCTTTACAGTCATTTAATTTTAGTTCCAAGATTAACTATGACATGCCATGATCTAACAATCTACCTCATGAAGAAGACTGAGTTCTATTAGAGGAATGACCCAGGATAAGACTTATCCCTGAACTTACCCCAACATGTGGTTCCCCACGTGGTGGGGGTAATAAGTGAATGTAACAAGAGGCAAGAGACTAGAGAGGAGAAATGAACACCGTGTGGCATCAGAGAAAAGCAAAGATGAGGCCAGGAGACTAGCAGGTCTGAATCTTTGGAAAGCCTTCAGCTTTTGCAGCCCTTTATGCCTCTGAAGCAGATCTCAATGCAGTTTTCCTCAGTGGTCACACTGCTGTCTTCCCCTTAGTTCTCATGCAGATAGGTAGAAATGCAGAACTGGACCTTCACTGTCAGAACAGCAAAGCAAACTCAAATGATGCCTCACTGTCTTTCACCCCCTTTTAGACATTGAGTATACATGTTCTAATGTTCAATCATTCTTTCCTATCATCATGTATCAAATGTATCAAAGAAAAAATGAGGGAAGGAAAGACAGAAAGGGGTGAAAGAGGAACTCCACAATAGCAATGGCTTTTATTCCTAGCTATTAAGATGCAGGGATAAGAGACCCTCAAGTAGTACAAACATCCCCTTTTCTAGGAAATCAATGGCATAAGCATTTCAGCAGACAAAATTGCAAGACCATAAAATAATCTGACATATAAACAACTTCAGTATATGTAGTTTTAGTCAATGAAAATTACTCAATATCAGAGACTGCAAGATGGCTCACCAGATAAACGTGCTCAGCCCCAAGACTGTCAACCTAAGTTTGACCCTCTGAACCCACACAGTGGAAGGGCAGGACAGACCCCTGAAAGTTGTTCTCTGATTTCCATGTGTGCTTGATGGCATCTCTAACCCCCCCACACACACACATACACAAAATCAACCAATTAAAAGAGGTTAAACATTTTTATTTTTATTTTTTGTTTTGTTTTCTTTAAACATCATTTTTTTTACTGATTATTTGAGAATGCTCCCAGCTTCGTGCACTCCAGCCCCCCAAAATACACCAAAGGCTCATAATAAACTTTAGTTTGTAAAGATGAAGAATTAGCAAATATCAGGAAAGTTTTTAACTTTCAGTGTTGAACAGACTCCTTATCCATTCCTCACATGGCTGCCTCACACTGGGGATTTTATACTTGGAGGAAATTATTCAGACCCTTCCCCAAGAGGAGTAAATGGAAATTCTAATGCCTGGCGTGAGCACTACTTTGAGACTCAGCCAAACCCTGTGGTTTGTTTTCTGAAGCTACTGGCATTGGAGTTGCATTAAGGGAGTCACGAGAAGAGCTGCACATATTGTGACACCCAAAAATAATAAAATACACTCTACTAAATCTTCCATCGTCAACCGGAGTCATTTCTGAGTCAGTGAGTACTACCAGATGTCGTCTTCCCAGACCTGCTTGGTCCCAAGCTGCCCACCATCTGACCTGGGTACCTTCAAGCCTTTAAAGAAAAAAGATTCCAAATGCTCCTGCAAAACATAGTTCA